GGTTGTGCTGGGTCTTCGTTGCTGCTTTCCTCTGGCTGCAATGAGCAGGGGCTGCTCTTCATTTCAGTGCAGGGGCTTCTCATTGCAGTGGCTTCTCTTGTGGAGCACAGGCTCCAGGAGCGTGGGCTGCAGTAGTTGTGGCACGTGGGCTTAGTTGCTCGATGGCAAGTGGGATCTTCCTGGACCAGGGATCGAACCCTTGTCCCCTGCATTGGCAAGCAGATTCTTAACCACTGGACCACCAGGGAAGCCCTCTACCTAACTTTTTTTTTTTAGTTTAAATATTACCTATAGTTTATTTTGGTTTTTCTAAATAGACAATTACAGCTGCAAACAATAGGATTTTTGTTTCAGCTCCAACCCTAAAGTCCTTACAACTTTTTATTCTCACATATTGGCTAGAAATGCCTTTGTTGTCATTTAGTCGCTAAGTTGTGTCTGGCTCTTTGTGACCCCATGGACCATAGTCCGCCAGACTCTTCTGTCCTTGGGATTTCCCAGGCAAGAGTACTGGAGTGGGTAGCCATTCCCTTCTCCATGGGATCTTCCCAGCCCAGGGGTCGAACCCAGGTCTCCTGCATTGCAGGCAAATTCTTTACTGGCTGAGCCACCAGGGAAGCCCCCTTTTGGCAGAACCTGTACTTAAGAAAATATCTCTGAGGAATTCACCTTGGTGATGACCCAGGACCCACCTGGTCAGAGCCCACCTTCTCTGGGGTCCTGATTATGGAAAGATATGGGAGAGGGACCCTTTGTCCAGGCCCCTAGCCCTGGGATCCCTAGCCCTCCCTCTTACCAGCTGTGTGGTTTTGGGCAGGTCACATCACCACTCCATACCTCAGTTTCCCCATCTATAAAATGGGCTTAAGAAAAGCACTTACAGACTTCTTTGGTGGTACAGTGGATAAGAATCCACCTACCAATGCTGGGGACACGGGTTCGATCCCTGCTCCAGGAAGATCCCACATGCCTCGAGCCACAACTACTGAGCCCAAGCTCTAGAGCCTGCGAGCTGCAGCTACTGAAGCCTGAGTTCCTAGAGCCCATGCTCCACAGCAAGAAAAGCCACACAATGAGAAACTGCGCACCACAACTGGAGAGTAGCCCACGCTTGTCACAACCAGAGAAAGCCCATGCACAGCAACAAAGACCCCAGAACAACCAAAAATAAATATTTTTAAAAAGAGCAGTTACATCTTAGGGTTCTTCTGAGGAATTAGACTCTGCACATGAAGCACTTGGCATGGTGCTTAGTACATAGTAAGCGCTCGGCTAATGACAGCATTTGCCATTTTGTAGATGTTCAGCTCAGTTCAGTGCAGCCGCTCAGTCATGTCCAACTCTTTGCAACCCCATGGACTGCAGCACACCAGGCTTCCCTGTCCATCACCAACCCCCAGAGCTTGCTCAAACTCATGTCCATCGAATCGGTGATGCCATCCAACCATCTCATCCTCTGTCATACCCTTCCCGTCCTGCCTTCAATCTTTCCCAGCATCAGGGTCTTTTCAAATGAGTCAGTTCTTCACATCAGTTGGCCAAAATATTGGAGCATCAGCTTCAGCTTCGTTCCTTCCAATGAATATTTAGGGTTGATTTCCTTTCAGGTTGACCAGTTTGATCTCCTTGTTACTGTATGGATGGTCTTCCAGAGGAAACTTTTCCTTGGGCATTAGGGTTTGATTTTGTTGCTGGCAGTCAGAAGCATTTTTTATTTGATCTGGTGAATGAGTGGGTTGAGTGTGAGGCCAAGGCACAGAAATTCCCGTTGCCTTACCTTTGTCCTCGTGGCAGGAAAGTCCCTTCCAGGAGTCTGTGATCTCACTGGGAAGCTGGGGCTGCACAAGGCCCTGCACAAGGGTGGCTCCAGCCCCCAGGTAAGGGTGGCAGGTGGGGAGGGAGATAGCTTTCCACCGAGGGAGGGCTCACCCAGCTTGTGTTGGCAGACCCCAGCTGTCTACTCACAATAATCTGAGATACCCACTTTGCAACTCCTAGAGCTGGTAAAACACTCGGTCCAGCCCTCTGCATATTTTGCAGGAGGTTCCAAGGAGCTTTCCATAAATGAACACGCAGCTGCTCAGTGCCTTGACCAGAGCTCACCTTCTCTGGGCCTCACTTGCAGACTGGCTGCCCTTGGGCCAGTATGACCACAGGCTGCGTTCAGGACCACAGAGTCTTTGTTTGTATGTTTGTCTGTCTGTTTTAGGGGCTTCCCAGGTGGTGCAGTGGTAAAAAAAAGAAAAAAAAATTGCCAATGCAGGAAATGCAAGAGACACAGTTCTGATCCCTGAGTTGGGAAGATCCCCTGGGGGAAGAAATGGCAACCCACTCCAGTATTCTTGCCTGGGAAATCCCATGGACAGAGGAGCATGGCAGGCTACAGTCTAGTCGACGGGATTGCAAAGATTTGGACATAACTGCGTATGCACGTACACTGTTTTAGAGTTGAATGCATTGCCAACACTTTTTTAAAAGTGGAGATGATACATTAAAATGTCAGTGCTTGGACCCATGTTCTCAGACGCCAACCATTGGCTGAGTGTGATCAGCCCCTCCACTGGGGCCTGCAACGCCCGGGGTGTCACTGCTCCACCAGGGTTACCTGCTCGGCCGCTGTTGGCCCCGGAGTTTGAACCTTTGTTCTGCTGGTGAGACAGACTCAGACTCAAGTATTTTATGGTTCAAGATAGAACATTGCGAGTCTGCAGATGAGGTGGTGATTTCACCCTCAGCAGGGGGTGATTTCACCCTCCAGGGGACATTGGTGATACCCAAAGCCACTTCTCGTTGCCACCTTGAGGACAGTGCTACCTGAAGTTTAAAAACCAAATGGGCCCCAAATCAAAGTCTCAGGTACCAGTCATTTCCAAAGAGTAAGGAAGGGAAAGACTCTCAGGTGTGGTTCAGGCTGCATCTTTGTCCCAATTTCTCCTTTCCTTCCATGCCACTAGCTTGTTCTCAGGCAACCTGTTCCAATTCCGTTCCGGGTCGCCCCTTCCCTCTGTCTGAGTTCCCCCTTTCCTGTCCTCTTCACCCTTGGCACCTAAGATGCTTTCCCCTTCTGGGAGGGCTTGCTGCCACTGCGCCCGGGACCACCTTCGCACCTGCCTCTGCACAGCCCCCAGGCGGGACCCACGGCACACCCACTCCGCTTGGGCGGGAGCCCCCCAGACTTGTGCTCTGAAGGCCAAGAGAGCAATGGAAAATTTCCATCTTTACTCCCTTCCCCATCACTTTCCTGGCCTTCCTTGGGTAAGGCCAGTAGAGATCCATCAGGCTAGAAGTGGTGAGACTCTCTCTTGGTTAAAATCCCCGCTTCCTTCCAAGTTAGGAACCTGGTTACTCTGCAGCTTAGGGTTGAGGTATAGAGCCCAGGACCCTACAGAGGCTACTTCCAGGGAGGCTGTAGGTAAGCCACCTAGCTTCTGTGAACCTCAGTTTCCCCATGTTTGTAGTACAGTCTCCCTACAAAGCTCTAAGGACAGAGCCTTGTTCAGTATGTCTTGTTGCTGTTCATTTGCTAAGTTGTATCTGATTCTTTATGACCCCATGGATCCCAAGCAGCACGCCAGGCTTCCCCGTCCTTAACTATCTTCCAGAGTTTGGGCAAATTTATATCCATTGAGTCAGTGATGCCATCCAACCATCTAATCCTCTCTCTCTCCCTTTTCCTCTTGCCCTCAATCTTTCCCAGCATCAGGGTCTTTTCCAATATGTCTTAGCTGCTTTATAAAAATTGAGCTCTTGACGAATACTCTAAGCCTGGTATTGCAGTAGGTCCCAGGAGGACAAAATCTCCTGACCACTGGTCTTGACTTAAAGGATTGGTTAGTTTAGGATTTGACTGATTGAGGACATGCAAGTGTTAGGGAGCATTTGGGCTTCCCTTGCAGCTCAGCCAGTAAAGAATCTGCCTGCAATGCAGGAGACCTGGGTTCAATCCGAGTTGGGAAGATCCCCTGGAGAAGGGAAAGTTACCCACTCCAGAATTCTGGTCTGAAGAATTCCATGGACTGTATAGTTCATGGGGTCACAAAGAGTCAGACACAACTGAGCGACTTTCACTCCATTTCTAGAAATTTATCTGAAACATGAACAAAAATTTAGTTCTAAGTAGTTTCACTGTAAGGTTCATTGTAACGATCTATAAACTGAAAAGCTGAAAATAGCCTATGTCCTCCTCTAGGATATTGGTTATGGAGGTGATGAGACAAATAGAATCTTATCCAGTCACTCAAGAGGAAGCAGAGGGATATTTGTTGATATGGAAAGATATTTATTATTAACTGAAAGCAATATACAAAACAATATTTGTGTGCATATATTTTGAAAACTGGATGCTAATACATCAACAGTGGTGGATATCTCTGAATGATTTCTACATTTCTTTTTTTATTCTAGATTTCCTTTCCTAAATTTTCTATAATGAACGTAAATTCCTTTTGTGAAAAATATAGTAATATATCTTATTAACTTATTTTATAATGTTATTAAAGTATAATAAATAAACATAGTAATAAAAGAATGGGCAGTTTTACTAGCTGTACGTGTCCCAGCCTTTTCTCTCCACTCGATTCTTGATAACTGACGATAAACATAGCCTCATCATTGCTACTGTTCATTTCAGTATTTGCTAGTATTTATTAGCCTCAGAGAACCGTACTAGGCAAGACGATGTAAAGATGAATTCTCACATTCTTCAAATGATTTGCGTGCACACCAAATTTTGAGGTGCGTGGAGACAAGGAGTTCTTTACCTCCTTCCTTCATTTATTTTTTCTCTTTTAATTCATTTCATCTTGGAGGGCGGGGCGTTTATTTACTTCACGTACGCATGCGCACTCCTGTGCTTTTTTGGGGGGTGGGGGCCACTCGGCCTGGCGGTCCCGCCTCCCGGCCCCGACCATTGGCCGACCCCGCTAGCGGGCCTCTGATTGGTAGCCACGGACCTGGCCTCCCGCTCATCAAAGTTGGCGGGAAAGCGAAGGCGAGGCAGAATGGCGGCGCCCAAGGAGTCGTTACCCAGCAGCGACTCCACAGCCGTGAGGCTGCCTCTGTTGCCGCCGCTCAAGGTGCTGGCGGAGCAGCTGCGGCGCGACGCGGAGGGCGGCCCGGGCTCGTGGCGCTTGTCGCGGGCGGCGGCGGGCCGCGAGCCGCTGGAGCTGACTGCCGTGTGGATGCAGGGCACTGTGGTGGAGGTCGGCGGCGGCGAGGCGCGGCTGCGGGACCCGAGCGGGTTTTTCTCGGTTCGCGGCCTGGAGCGGGTGCCCCGCGGGCGGCCCTGCCTCGTCCCAGGTAACGGCCGGATTCGAAGCCGCGGCTGGCGCTCGGTCTATACCGCCCGAAGGTGGGGCCGTGCCGCCCCACCTCCAGGCCTTTTTGCAGTGGTGCCATGTTGGTCACCAGCTTCCATGCCCTTCCTTCCTGCCCCTTCCCAGCCAGGCGCCAGCCAAGACGTTCTGATGATAGGCATCACCCGCAGCCCGTTTAAAAAATACAAGTTCCTAGGATTGCACCAGCCTTTCCAGCTGGAATCTCCGGGAGAGGGACCCCCCACCCCCAGCATCAGTAACAAAGCCTCCTCTGCAGGGGTGATTCCCCTCCCTCCCCCCTCCCCCCTCCCCCCATCAAGTTTTGGAAACTACCATAGTGGGGAACTTCTGTTCATCCCTAATGCCTGGACTCAACGGTACCTTCCTTAGGGAAGCTGTCCCCAGTTCCCAGGAGTGGGGGGGCCCTGCTGTACCCCTGCCTCATGTGACTCTCAGGCTGTAGTCACTACTCTTTCCTTTTAAACTCGGGGTGTGCACATTTGGGCGTGCGTCAGACTTACTCTGAAGGCTTGTTAAAGCTGCTGGCAGGTGCCACCCTCAGAGTTGGTCTGGGTGGGGCTGAGAACTTTCTAAGCAGCTCCCAGGTGCTGCTGGCCTGGGGGCCACACTTTGAGAATGACTGGGCTAGACTACCGCAGGGTGGGAGTCTATTTCTTTCTGACAACTATTCTCAGCGTTAGGTTGAACTGGCTCGGGCCCTTTTCTCCCTGGAGAATTTGTTCTTAACCTTTCTGGACCGCCTTTCAAAGGGACTAATAGTTGCTGCCTGTTGTATGGATTCAGTCCATTTAAAAAATGGCCTTAACACAGCTCCTAGGTCATAGTGAGGGTTGTGACCATGGGTTTTTTACCACGTAATGCTCCTGCACGCTTCTCTCCCCACCCCAGCCCCATCCTTCCGCCTCCCTCTCTGTCTGCCCTCCATTGCAGTGTTTATCTAGACATGGTCTGCAAACCTCAGGGTACCAGTACCACCTCCTTTTGCTTGGCCTGTGAGCTAAGAGTGATTTTTCCATTTTCAAAGAGTTGAGAAAAAACGAAAGATTTCATGACATGTGAAAAGAATATGAAATTCAAATATCCGGGTCCATAAATAAAGTCTTCACGGAACACAACCATTTAGGTATTGTCTGGGGATGTTTTCTCATTACAGCTACAGACTTGAATAGTTGCAGCAGAGACCTTGTGACCTTCAAAGCCTGAAATATTTAGTATCCGACCCTTTACAGAAAACGTTTTCCGGCCCTTGGTGTAGCACGTAGCCTTGAGCTTTTGGTGTCTTGGTCCCTAGGCAGTGCTCTTTGAAGGCAAGCTGGGACTGTCTCCCGCAGGTGGCTCCAGCCCTGGTATAAGGTTGATACCAGTCAGTACCTGAGTGGGCTTCCCTGGTGGCTGAAACAGTAAAGACTGTGCCTGCAATGCAGGAGACCAGGGTGTGATCCCTGGGTTGGGAAGATCTCCTGGAGGAGGGCATGGCAACCCACTCCAGCATTCTGGCCTGGGACATCCAGGACAGAGGAGCCTGGTGGGCTGTGGTCCATGGGGTTGCAAAGAGTTGGACAAAACTGAGCGACTAAGCACAGCACAGGTACCCCAGTGGCCAGTGCCCGTTGACGAACCCATCTGACTTACCCACTGGCCTGAATGCCTACATGCCTGGGCCTTGCCGTTTCCTCTTGGTAATTAATACCAAGGTTTGATTGACAAGTCGGTAACTACTTTGAGACGGGGAGCCTGAAGAGTAAGCAGGCCATTAAAACACAAAGTGATGTGTCATAGGCTTGAGTGCAAGGTGCTGTGGGCGTTGAAGAGGGGCAACTGATCCAGGCCTGTGAGGTCATGGGATGAAGGCCAGATGGAAGGGAGTGAGTGGGGAAGGAGAGACAGTGGAGAGAGACTCATCAGGGGAGAGGCTGTGGGTAGAAGGAACCAGACTAAGTAACCGGGTTGGCTGATCATGAAAGGCAAGAACTTAGTCCTTCGGCTTCATCCGTCTATTTGTGTTATATGCCTCGGTGTGTGCAGATTTCCTGTGTGTGAATTACCTCTCCTGTTGGAATCTCTGTGGGTTTGCTCTTCCTTTCCAGGGTCTTCAGTCATTTTCCGAGGTTTCCATCTCCCCCAGTATTTCAGGCCTATTCAGAGGGGTATGTTAAGTGTATTTTTATAATGAGCCTCTGTCACTGAGGAGCCCAGAGTCACTTGCTCAGGTCAAAAGCAGAGATGGGTTCAGGGAAACTTAAGTATGTAGTAGTACCAGGGGCTGATGCCCAAAGGGTAAGGTATCCGCTCTCCTGGCTTCTTTCCGTCAGAGCCCCAGGGCCCGGGTGCAAACCCAGCCCTGATGTTGGAAGCAGTATGATTAAAGCGGCCTTGCAGGGGCACGCGGTGGAGGCTGGCCAATGTGCCTGCTTTTTCCTGCTGTGTTTGGGTTTTTTTTTTTACACAATTGAGTTTTGTGTGGTTAAGACTGGCCAAGTTTTGCTTTCAAGGAGAACCACTTCCCCAAGGGAATGGGAAGAGTGTCGCGGTTAATATGTCATGAGATCATTGAATGGCAGCCTGCCCTCTCGATCAGTTGCTTGCATGTGCCCAGCTGACGGCAGGAGGCGGTGGAGATTGGTCCCAGGCAGCTGGAACGATAGGGCGTTTTAGGGGTTGCCGCCCCTGCTGAAAGAGGAGGGAAGGGGGCAAGGCACAACTTTTGAAAGAATTACACAGCCCGAGGACACAACATAAACCAGTTAGAATCAGATGGGTCCAAAATGGCAGGCAAGTCAACTTCAACTAGACCTTGATCCTCAATCAGCAGTTAGAGGCGCCATGACAATTCCAAGGTTGACCATCAAAGAGCAAAAGTAGGCTGTGGCCCAGCCGCTGGGAATCCCTGCCCCTTCCCCAAAATAGTTGGAATAATCCTCCCACTCGTTAGCCTATGAAATTACCCAGCCCATAAAAGCTAACCATGCCACATTTTGAGGCTGTTGCACTTGCCTTCTGCAATGGCCCACACTCTTGTCTGTGGAGTGTGTTTCTCTCTGAATCAATCCACTTCTTACCTATCTGTCTCTCACTGAATTCTTTCTGTGATAAGACATCAAGAACCTGAACTTCATTAGGTCCCGAAACCAGGTCTGTGATCTCAGTTGGAAGACCATGGGTTTTGGCTGGGTTCGTAGTCCCAATCTGAAGTAAACGGTTTCACTGCCCAGTTCTTGTGGCAATGTGAAGGGGAATTGGATTTTTGCTTTGGGGCTGTCAGAGTTGTTCAGTTTCTCCGTCATGTCCCGCTCTTTGCGACCCCATGGACTGCAGCACGCCAGGCTTCCGTGTCCTTCACCACCTCTGGAGTTTGCTCAAACTCATGTCCATTGAGTCGGTGATGCCATCCAACCATCCTCTGTCAGGAGTTGTCTGTGCAGAAAGAGGACCAGTCTTGTGCACGGAGACCAGTCACAGGCTCTTGTATTAAGCAAGAACAGGGAGAAGGGGAAAGCTAAGGGTTTTCTGGCTCCTCCATCCATGGGATTTTCCAGGCAATAGTACTGGAGTGGGTTGTCATTTCCTTCTCCAGGGGATCTTCCCAACCCAGGGATCAAACCCAGGTCTCCCACATTGTAGACAGACTCTTTACCATCTGAGCCACCTGGGAAGTCCTGCCTTAGAGCAGACTGTCTAATTACAACTCATCCTCTGGTGTGAGCGCCTCTTCCATTTCTTGGACAGGATACCTTTATGCAGTATGCTCTGATTTTAACATTTGAAAACTAAAAGCCAAAGATACAGATGTCATTCTCTAGGTTAACTGTGGAATTTACTATGTTATAAGTATTTTGATCACCTTGGCATTTTGGTATTCACTGTCTGCGATTTTTTGGGGTTTTTTTTTTTTTTTGGTCTCCACTTTGCCTCCCTGATAAAGTTAAACCCTCTCAAGGACTCCTGTCTCTGCTTTGTTTGTATTTTCTCTATCAGTGTGGACTTTTACCACCCAGCTTTTCTTCTTCCAGGAAAGTATGTGATGGTGATGGGAGTGGTTCAGGCCTGCAGCCCTGAGCCCTGCCTGCAGGCTGTGAAGATGACAGATCTTTCAGATAATCCCCTCCACGAAAACTTGTGGGAGCTGGAAGTGGAAGATTTACACAAGCTTATTCCTTAGATGATGTTGGAACCGGCGATTAAAAAAACAACCGAAGTTCTGGAACAACTTGCATTCTCACCATGTGGATTTCGTGGACATCACTCAATATATATTTCTCAAAGGTTTATCAGAAAGCTTTGCTCCGAGCAGTCCAGATGCAGGAACCTCTAAATGCTGGGACACTCCAGTGAACTCAGCCCCTGCTGCCCTTTGCTTTGACTGTTTGCTGATGAAAAGCAGATGTTTTGTTCTCTCTTTTTTCTTTTTCCTCTGTGTTAATTCTCTCTCCCTGAAGCACACAGAAACCTCATGCTGCATTTTCCAAGTTTTACAAGTGATGATGCTTTTTCCATTACCACCGCGGCACTGTTTTATGAGGCTGAATTTGAACCTCAGTCACGGCCCACAGAGATGAAAAGCATGGTTATGGGCAGGAAAAGAGGCTGCGTAAAAAAGGAATGACCTCATGGCCCCGCGTCTCCTCCATCCACAGCTTCCATACTCCGCTTGCAAGTCAAATGGCATTTTCTGACTGCAGGCTCTGGGGCCTCTCAGAGACACAGCCCTCTTTTTGCCTCATGCCACTCAGCCCTAAATGTGAGGTCCCTTCTCCGCAGAGCTAGACATGGATGCCTGCCCTTCTTCCTTCCCTTGGGGATGTTGAAACACCCTCAGAACTTCTTCTTGAAATGAAAGTCAAGATGAAGAATGACTTGCAGGCATGAACTAAATTTCTGTCTCTTAACTTTCGATGAGACGCTGTGAGGGGCAGCCTGCTCGTTAGATAAGAGTCTTCACGGTGTTTTCTGTAGGGAATGGAGTTTGGTGGTGATTGTATTGAATGTTGTGTGGCTGCTCTCTGCTTCTTACCCAGCCTTCACTTTTCCTTAGATTGTAAATATCAAGGGAGGGAGGGGGTCAGGTTTTGTTCCCCATTGCTGTAGACTTTTGCTGGAGTTGATTTCTGCCACCAATAAATTGTTTCCTATGCTGTATTAATAGATTTTATTTTTTATGCATCTTAGATTTCTAGGGGAAAAAAAAAGAGCAGAACCTATAGTGAGGTACTTTACATGCCCTCTGTTTCCCCCTTTATTAACATCTTGCATTGGTGTGATACCTTTGATAAAGTCAATGAGGCAGCGTTGATATATTATTATTAACTCAAGTCTGTTGTTGACATCAAGAGTCAATCTTTGTGACATACAGTAGGCATAATATCATGTATCTACTGTTACAGCATTATAGGAAATAGCTTTGTTACCCTGAGAGTCCTCTGTGTTCCGACTGTTCATCCTTCCCTGCCCTGTAACCCCTGGCAACCATTGATTTTCTTGCTGTCTCCATAGTTCACAGTTGGACTTTTCCAGAACGTCAGATAGTTGGAATTGCACAGTCTGTAGCCTTTTCAGACTGGCTTCTTTCAAGTTAGCAATATGCATTTAAGGTTCCTCCATGTAGTTTTGTAACTCGATAGCTCATTTCTTTTTACTCTTGACTAATCTCTCTTTGGATGGATGTACCATGGTTTGTTTATCCATTCACTTATTGAAGGACATCTGTTTGACTCCAATTTTTGGCAGTTATTAATAGGGCTGTTGTAAACATTCGTGTGCAGGTTTTGTATGGACATAGTTTTCAACACACGAAGGTAAATGCCTGGGAGCCCAGTTAGTGTTTATATGGTCAGTCTGTGTCTTAGCCTTGTAAGAAACTACCAGACTGTCTCATCTGCTATAACAAAGCCCCATAGGCTGCAGGGTAGGGGCGGGGGGGCGCTTAAAACATCAGATTTACTTTTTCCAATTCTGGAGGCCAAGGTCAAGGTGCTGGCAGATTCAAGGCCTTCTCCCCATATCCTCATGTGATGGCAGAGTGTGAGGTTCTCCCACGGGCCTCCTATAAGGGCACTGATCCCATCCTGTTCATTTCCCAAAGGCCCCACCTCCATAAACCATTACACTGGGGGCTAGGTTTCAACCTCTGAATCTGGGGCAGGGAGGTGGGGGTGCATATTCAGCCTGTGGTCCTTTGGAAGGGACGACATATTCAGTCTGTAGCACTATTTTCCAAAGCAGCTACAGCATTTTGCTTTCCCATCAGCAGTGTACGGAGTTCCTGTTCTACAGCCTCATCAGCATGTGGTATTGTCTGTGTTTTGGATGTGCTATATATCCACACACACATACATATATATACATAAATACACATGTCTATGTGTGTGGCGCTCAGCTGTGTCCGATTCTTTTGCAACCCCATGAACTGCAGCCTGCCAGGTTCCTCTGTCCATGGGATTTTCCAGGCAAGAACACTGGAGTGGATTGCCATTTCCTTCTTCAAGAGATCTTCCTGAGCCAGGGATCAAACCCAGGGCTCCTGCATTGGCAAGCAGATTCTTTATCACTGAGCCACCTGGGAAGCCCCATACATATATATATTTACATAAATATGCACACATATGCATATGCATAAATATATGTGTAATCACACACACATATATATTTGGCTGTGCGGGCTCTTTGTTGCAGACTGAGAACTTTCTCTAGTTGCAGTGTGCAGGCTCTTTGTGGCACATGGGCTTAGTTGCCCCACAGCATGTGGAATCTTAGTTCCCCAACCAGGAATCGAACCCACATCCCCGCATTGCAAGGCAGATTCTTAACCACTGGACTACCAGGGAAGTCCCTGGATATGCTATATTTTTTAACTCAAGTGTTTTCTTTTAAAGATGGGGAAATTGGAAAATGCATGTTGTTTTTCCTGCCAGTCCGGGTTTTGTTGCCTGCCTAAAGCTTGTTTCAAGTCGATTTATGTTCAGAGCTTGGTCAGTGTTGTGGAGCTTCATCGGGACTCTGCAGCCCTGTAGACCTGGATATGAGCCCTTCATCTCTCCCATCTACTCTGTGCTTAAGTTTCCTCATCTATAAAACGCAGATTATACCGAGCGCACAGCACTGGTGTGAGGAAAAAGTGAGGAAGTGTGTAAATCACTTTTACATGTGCCTGGCACTCAGTAGGCCCCAAATGATTGTTGCTGGAAGGAGTAATAAGTTCATACTCACATCCTTCAGTTGACTCTTAAAAATATATATACATATGTGTGTGAGTAGATATATATATTTTAGAATAGTTTTAGGTCCACAGAAAAATTGCAAAGACAGTACAAAGAGTTCCCATTTACCTGCAACCAGTTTCCCTTATTATTAACATCTTAACATGAATATGACACATCAGTTACAATTAGTGAACCAACACTGAGATGTTATTAACCAAATTCTACCCTTTATTCAGACTTCCTTAGTGTTATTTTCCAGTGTCCTCTTTCTGTTCTTGGAGCCCGTCCAGGACACCCTATGACAGAGACTCAGTACGTCTCCTTAGGCTCCCCCTGGCTGGGAGAGAGAGTTGACCATTTGCTTTTGATTACACTGACACTGCATTCTGATGTTGTCTGCGCCATCTCTGTCATAGGATTCTTGGGCCAACCGTTTATTCCACAATTAGCCTGGATTTCCCGATAGTAATCCTGGAGCTGGTTGTACGGTAGCCTCCCTAAGCCCTTAAACCGAAGTCTACCCTGCTGAGGTTCCTTTATCTAAAGTCGGCTCTTCTGCTCCAAGACCAACCCAGACTGCCGAGAACCATATCCTGCCCGCTCCGTCCTCACCTAACTTCTGGTAACAAATGCCTGAATGAAAAATCGCGGATTGGGCCGATAGGGCCGCCTGGCAGTGAACTACCTCAGGAGCTGTGGGAGGTGGGAAACGAGGGTGCCTGTGTCTTTCCGACAAGTCCCCGCAGACACCGATGGTTCCCCGGGGGCTCGGAGCTGGCCCTGAGCCCTCCCGGCGTCTTGGCTGTTAGCTGAGCTCTTGCGGTCTGCCGGAATATTAAGAACTCTCACTATTTCACCTCGCGTTTCCTCCTTGACATCACCAGATGAAGACGCATCTCAGGCGGGGGTTTTAGTTTTCTGATGCCAAATCAAAGTTGGTTTATCAGCAAGCTCCCCTCACCAGACAAGGGCAAGCTGTGTGCTCCGGCTGCAAAGCTTCCCTTTTGAAATTGGCTCTTTTCTAAGAACTGAAAATAAGCACCCTGGGCCATGACTTCACTTTTCTTGGAACTGCTTTACATTAGAAGAAAAAAAGAAAAGAGAGAGAGAGAAGAAAAAAAAAACCCAGCTCACTTAGCTGGTTTTGGATCACTGAGTTCCCTAAATCTTTCTGTTGCAGATTCTTGTAAAGCTGTAGTTTTACCACAAAATTCTTATGCATCAGGTGAAGCAGGAAGAAGGAAAGACCACATGAAGAAAGTCAAGCATTTTGTCTCCTGGCCTGTTGTATGTGATTTAATGGTGAGGAGGAAAAGAATCCAGAGGACATGCCGTGGACAGAATTGCTTCCCAACCTCAGGGATCCAGCTGTGACTACGAGGCCCTGAGAAATGCTGGCCACCAAATGGACTAGGACCCGGGGTCACTAAACCTCGGGCCACAGGCCAGGCTCACTCAGCAGCTGCCCCCGTGGGTCACATCGAGAGGGAAACACGCATCTTCTGCCATAGTGACCTACATTTAGCAGACATCTTGGAGCCAGTGCAAAGGACCACTTTTGGGGGTCCCTGAATGCTGAGAGAGGGGCTTAGCCACACCTGGGCACTCCCGGTCCTGCCCTAGCCTGTCTGCCTTTGGGCTTGGAGACCAGTCTGTAGAGTGGATGAGACCCAAGAAGATCACGGGAACCGGAATAGAAGCCCCTTCCTCGCACAGACCTACAGACAGGCACAGAAATTGCTCCGAAAGGTCTATTAGTATCTCTGTCCCCATCAAAGGGGCCTCCAGTGATGTGACTGTGTCTTAGGTATCCATCTGTCCATGTACAACACACACGGGCGGTCAGTGTGTGTTCTGTGAAAGGCTTGTTTTTCAGGCAGAAAGACAGAGGAAATAGGACATGCAAAGACACCGTGTTCCTGAATTGATACTCAGCCCTCAAGAGCTCCACACATGCAAGGGG